CATGGGGAGGCTTCAGCCCGGCAGCTGCTGGAAAACCACATCCAGACCATCACCAGCATCGTTAGGAAGCTCAGCCAGGACGTGGAGGTAACGGATCCTTCCTTGCTTTGCTGGGGCAGCTCTGGCCCCTGGTGCACTGCACACTAATGTTGGCTTCAAGGAGCAGAAAAGCCCTCAATGTGACTCCTCTGTTTCAGTTAAAATCTGATTTTCCTTGCCTAGCAGCCCTTGCAGTTGCCTGTGAAAACAGGCAGGAGGGGGCTGGGGAAAATAAGGTAAAGAGAAGGAAGGTAAAATGAAATAAAAAGCAGATTAATGACTTCAGGAGCTATTGCAATTCAAAAAAAAAAAGGTTCTGATTGTTTTCATTGTTAGGCTACAAGGCATTGAGTCCAAGGGAAATAAGGAGTAAGAGGTACCTTCACCTCATCTGTCACACCAAGGCTCAAGTTTGGGTTGACTTCTTAGCTTTCCTGATGCAGGAGTTCCAATACATAACTTCTGCAGTCAAATCTTGCTGAAACTCTCCACAAAGCTCAGTGTGGGCTGGAATGGAGGTTCAGGTTCCTATTTTATCTAAACTGGCTGATGATTCTGTGCTGGAAACATAGGGGATATCCTTTTTCTGGGTATTTTTTTGCTGTTATTTGCCAAATTTAAAAGTGAAACTTTCTGACACAGTTTGGCTTTTCCTTTTGTGCGAAGGTGTAAAATACAAAAAAAAAAGAAATAAATCCACAACAAAACAACCAACCAAACACAAAAAAACCCACACTAAACTTCTCCAGAAATTGTTTTTTTCCTTTAAAATGTTAAAAGTCTTAAAAATGCCACTAAATCCACAACACTTTTTTGTTTTTCACCTACATGGAGAAACAGCTTTTCTTCTGTTTTCTTCTGTTTTCTTCTTTTTTCTGAGGAGAGGAGAGGAGAGGAAAAGGAAAAAGAAAAGGAAAAGGAAAAGGAAAAGGAAAAAAGAAGGATAGACCAGGAAATGTGACTCACTGACTCCAGATCTTCCCCAAAGCAGGAAGAATATCCTTTAAAAAAGGCTGCTCTGGGGAAGATGCCAGCAGTGTTGTTGCCACTGGGAGAGAAGAGCCAGCACACCCCTCTGCCAGCATCAAAAAACAGCCTGGAAGGTGAACATGACCTAATCCTTGGCAAAAAGTCCTTCATGATCCCAGGATGGGATTGCAAGTTTTAGGGAAAAAAGCATGGATACTGAAAAACCTGGGGTCAGAAGGGAGAAGTGGGACTTGGACACAGACCAGGGTGACCATTGATCGCAGCCCCCACGTGGGTCTCTGGGACAGGAGGAGCTGCCAGAAGCCCAGGGAAGGAGCTGGAGGAGGAGAATATTGGTTTCCCTGGATAAACAAGCTGCTGCTGCTTTCCATCTTGATGAACCAGCATCTGTAAGGAGGGTAGGTCCCACCCTGTGCCTCCATCTCTCAGGTCTGAGGCACCAGGCTGGCACTGCCCAACACTCTGTCCGTACACCTGAGCTGGGCAGCACATTCAGCCCTTTGAGAACATTGGTTTGGGGTGCAGAACAAACCCAGGAATGCATGGACCCAGCTCAGTATTCCTGTTATCCCTGCTCTGTGTACAGGGGAGCAAGAATTATTCAGGAATAACTGCATAAATGAGAGATTTCAGCTCAATCTTGCTCCAGAGCTACAGCAGCTCTCTCCACCACTTCTGATGGATGCTGAAATTTCTTTGGCAAATTCCTTTGGCAGCTGAAATTTTCTTTTACTTTTTTCTTTTTTTACTTCTTTCTTCTTCTTCTTCTTCTTCTTCTTCTTATTATTATTATTATTATTATTATTATTATTATTATTATTATTATTAAATTCACTCAGCAGGGAACATTTAGAATAATAATACAAAAAAAGCCAATAAAAGTCATTCTATTTCTGCACAAATAGCACATTTGCATAAAAAAAAAAAAAAAAGGGTAAGTGCTGTCCTTTGGCCAGCTGAAGGGCTGAATTGCAGTGAAAGGTCAGCCCCAGGCCTCTCTGTTCAACCTGAGAAGTAAAACGGGGAGATTTTAGAAACCATCCTTCCCCCCCCCAGCTCTGCTCCATATCTGCAAAAGGTCACAGTAGCTGCACAAGGGCTTCCTAAAATTAATTCTTCTGACACATTCAGGCACCATCAGGATGAGCCACTTCAGAAGAGCCTGCAGGGCAGTTGGTTACTCCTTCCATCTTCAGATCAGGCTGGTAATGCTGTGTGATAAGGCAGAAATCAGGCCACGTCCTGAACAAGGGTGAAACAAGATACTAAAGAGCTTCTCACCCAGGTCCTGGGTGGGTACATCTGAAAGGTGCTTTCACAGCAGGTCCAAGCCCTCACTGGAGCTCAAACCTGTCCTGTGCAGGACTGCATGGGGTGGGAACATGTTTTTATGCAGGGTAGGGAGAGCCTGGCCCAGGTTGCCCAGGGAAGCTGTGGCTGCCCCATCCCTGGCAGTGTTGAAGGGCAGGTTGGATGGGGCTTGGAGCAGCCTGGGCTGGTGGGAGGTGTCCCTGCCCATGCAGGGGGGTGGATCTAGATCATCTTTAATGTCCCTTCCAACCTTCACCATTCTGTGATTCTATGCCAGGAGAGGTTCCTGTCTTTGGACATCAGCCCTGGTATGTTGAAAAGTCATGTGGATGTGGTGCTTGGGGATGGTTTAAGGGAGAACATGGTAGATTAGGGTTAAGGGTTGGACTTGATGATCTTAAAGGTCTTTTTTAACCTAAATGATTCTGTGATTCGTATCTTGGACAGACTGTGTTCAGGGGAGATATCACAGAATCCCAGACTGGTTTGGGGTTGGAAGGGACCTCAAAGCCCATCCAGTCCCACCCCTGCATGGGCAGGGACACCTCCCACCATTCCAGGCTGCTCCAAGCCCCATCCAACCTGCCCTTCAACACCCCCAGGGATGGGGCAGCCACAGCTTCCCTGGGCAACCTGGGCCAGGCTCTCCCCACCCTCACAGCACAGAATTTCTCCCTCACACCTGATCTCCAGCTGTGTTGGGGGCTCCAGAGCTGTTCCCAGCCCCGCAGGGGGGTCTCCCATCTCTTGTCTGCCTTATCCACCCTGCACAGCTTTGCTGTGATGCCCTCAGGCTCCTGCACAACACTCAGTCATTTCCTCCCTTCTACAAACACCCAGCATCCCTGCTGAAAGGAGCCTGACTTAAAAATAACCTGTGTGTTATTTGTTCTGGGCTGCCCCATGCTGTGCAGGCTTGAAGGAGAGAATAAAATTTATTTCCCAGTTTTTGCAGTTCCTAATTTTTGCGTGCTAGGCTTTTCAGCATAAAGTACATTGTTAAAGGGGAAAAACTGACTTTTTTTTTTTTTTTGCAGATACGAATTATTGAAATAAAAATACACTGTTGCTTCCTGCAAGGAGGGAAAACAAGCTTTTAGACCTGCTGCCATAAATGGTGGTTTGAACCCTGCTTTGAATTGAAAAACAAAAGAAAAGCAGGAAACAATAGTTGTATTAATGGTCTTGAATTCACAGGTTTTGGAGAGGCAAATAAGAACAAGGGATGGTGCTGCATTAGAAACTAATTTTGCTGTTCAAAGCCTGGACCATAAATGCATCCAAGGTATTGGAGACCTGCGTGGAAGAGTGGCCAGGTAAGGAGGGCATCGTGGCTCTCATTTCCATCCCTGCTGGTCTGTTTGTGTAGAGCAGATTCAGAATGTACTTTGCACTCATTTTACACCTCCATTTCAGAGCCAGATCTGTGGTTCTCACCCTCCATCGCAGAAACATTACCCTTATCCTGTGTTTTTCCATATTCTTCAACACACACACAACCTTTTAGACAATTTATTTCTTCTCCAGCCTGGTCAGGCTTCAGCTGAAGTGGTTGTTCTGCTCAAACTCTCCTGTTGTTTCAATTAAATCTCCACTTCCTCTTTTGGAAAGCAGGTCTTGCTGAAAAAAAAACAACAACCCTCTATTTCTTCTTTTGCTGAGACTATCAGTTTCCATTGGCTCTCATAATTTCATGTATGTGACACAGGTGGACTTCTCTAGGGCACTTTCTAACACAAAATATTACAATTAAAGGAAAGATGAAGTGAAAAAGTTTTTAGCAGTATCAAGAGAGCACATGGATTAAGAGCTCTCTGAACTGCCAGACTGGAAAAAATGATGATGAAGGAAGAAATCTCCCTGAACTGGCATGTTTTTTTCTCCAGAAGCCAGTCATTTGCTTTCCACATGAGACATAACAGGCCAAGTGAGGTCAAGGTGGTAACTGGCAATGATCAGGAATATTGGCAATGTGGGCTGATTGAAAATAGAAGTATTTTATAAACCAAAAAAAAGAGACTGTTCTACTCCTGAGTGTCCTCTGGGAAGTCTGGGGAATACAGCAGGTAGGTAAGTTACTGTGAGTTCATCTGGGGATGGAGCATCAGAGCTGCCAGGAGCTTGGGCTTGGACAGGAGAAGCAGAGGAGCAGTCCCTTGGGAGGTTCTTTTAGCTCTGTCTGTTGCACCAGGATGCTGCACCAAGCCCAGAGTCCCTTTTCTGAAACTAAAAACCTGATGTGGTGTAAAGGAGAGCCAGGAATGTGATGGTGGGAGGAGGAAAATTCCTGGCTGAGGGAAGCATGCAGCTGTGTGTGGTTTGTAAACAATATAAATAAAATAATAATAATTAAAAAAAAAAAATCGAGAGGTGTTCTTAATTTCCATGTAACAGGAGAGAAAGAAAAAATCATAGGGTACTGAAGGACTCCAGGCTGCTGCAGAGAGACCCAGGAATCCCAGAGGAGAAGCTGGAGCCAACACATCCAAAGTTGGCAGGGAAAAGACAGTGTTTGTTTTTCCCTTGTGGCTGCATTAGGAACAAAGCAGGGGGTGACCCTGGCAAGAGCCTCCTGATGTGTTCAAACCCAGGTCAGAAACCTCTCCAGACAAAGTGGTTTTTGTCCAGCTGTGACTTGCTCCTCTTTTCATGGTGTTTTCCCAGGCATGAAGGTTCCTTTCCTGACCTGCACCAGGGCTTTGTCCCAGCCCCTGTGCAGCAGCATTGGCCTGCAGCAGGAAAAAGCAAAAGCACTGGGGGAAAAACAGGAAAACTGGGTATTTTCAGGGGAAAAAAATAACCATTGCATGTCTCCCTGCTTCAAGGAAACAAAAAAACAGCCAAAGCAAACAGGAGGTTGAGCACTCACAGAGATCCACGGCACTTTTAGTGAGGTTCCTCTTCCTTCCTTGCCTGGATCCCAGGTGTGCTGGTTGGCCTTTCCCATGGGCAGGAGGGAGGATCCCAAAATACACAACATTTCGCCTAAAATTCTGTCGTGGTGGCACCAAATGACTTTTTTGCCCAAACTTGGACAGGCATGACCAGCAGGGCCAGGGAGGGGATTGTCCCCTCTGCTCTGCTCTGCTGAGACCCCCTGCAGGGCTGGGGCCAGGCTGGGGTCCCCAGCACAGGAGGGACATGGAGCTGTTGGAGAGAGGCCAGAGGAGGCCCCAGAGATGCTGGGAGGGCTGGAGCAGCTCTGGAGCCAGGCTGGGAGAGTTGGGGTGTTGAGCCTGGAGAAGAGAAGGCTCCAGGGAGACCTGAGAGCAGCTTCCAGTGCCTGAAGGGGCTCCAGGAAAGCTGGAAAGCCAAACCAGTCTGTGGGTCTTTGGTTCTACTGTGGAAACAGAGCCCTTAGACTCCATTTGCCCTCAAAGATGGAAACGAAGGGAACCTCAGTTTTCTTGGCTTCATCAAACACGTTGGTGGAGCAGAGCTGGGGCTGGGATTCCAGCAGCATTTCAACAGCAGCATCATGGTGCAGCTCTGTGTGACTGATTCCCACTGAGCTCAGCCAGGCTGCACTGTTATGTGACTCATGAATCATCAGCCCTTTCTTGTTTTCCCTGCTGCTGGAGTTCCCCTCTGGAAATGCCAAGTTCTGACTGCCCCCAGCCCCCCTGGCTGAGGAGGGAGGCAGAGCTGAGAGGCAGGGCCCTGCCACTGCAGGGATGATCAGTATTTTGATTTTTCACGTCTATTTGATCTTGTATTCCCAGATTTAAAAAGTCAGTTTATATTAAAGAGGGCCGAGGGTTGCTGGAGACAAATGCATGTGCTGGTAGAGTTTACATTTACTGAATCTTCACATGCAAAATTGCAGTGACAGTTTTCCTCTTTATTTGTAGCCTAAACTTAATCCAAGAGTATCTAGGATGAAATGAACCTTAAATGGAGCTGCTGCTCTTTCTCACAGCAGATGATTCGTCCTCCTGTGTTTTGCCATGTGTAAAGGATTAACGTGGATTGGCTCTTGTAACTCAAGTTCCATCTACATTTTCACTCTCTCTTTGCCTGAAAAATAGGTAGAGACCTCTTGCCAGCTACTGAGGTGGTTGTCCATTCATTCCTGGATTAACTTTAATTAACTTTCTGGCTACATTTCTACACGTGTAAAACACTTACGTGTCAAATAGCAGTGATCTTTACCAAAAACACAGTCTTCATCACCTCAGCTATAATGGCATTCCCATTGAATTAGCTACATATTTCTGTATTATTAATAAGAATTCCTTTGGGCATGGGATTATGTATTACAGTAATAAGAATTGTAAAAAAAAAAGCCATAATTCTGGTAAATATTAATCCACTCTGTTCAGCCAGCCCAATAAAAGAATAAAAGAACATAAAAATGGGTAAGCAATGGACTTTGTACAGATGGTTATGTCATAGTTATTTTTCCCATTAACTTAAATAATAAATGCACACACATATTTTTATATAACACATATATATGTAAAATATTGCATTTTATGTATAATATATATCTATATCTATATCTATATATGGATATATACACACACAAGGTGTGTGTACATTAAAGACATTCACACTACCTACAGAGAACAGGGGGTTGAATTTTAATCATCCTTTGGCTATTCAATTAATGTTGCTGCTCTCAGGTTGTTCATTTGCCCATTTTATGTGTGTTGAGGTGTTTTGGTGGGTGCAAGGGGAAGAGTTTCAGTGTCCAGCAGCAAATGCTCCCTGCAAAACACCAGACCCTTGGCTCTAGAGGTGACTTTCCCCTCTCAGTGGGTCCTGCTGGGGGAGGCTGTGGCACTAACCTGGGGATGCTCAGGGCAGAGATCAGCCTCTCCTGGGAGACAATTTGATTTATTCAGGTTGGAGAGTGGGAAACTGAGAAGGACTCAACCTATCAGGGCAAACACTTGGGTTGTTCCCAGGGTCTGGGTTTTGATCTGGAGCAGGGCTCTGCCTGCAGGGCCCCCCAGCACCCCCCTGCAGGGTCTCCTCTCTCTGGTTTGGCTGCAGGTGTGAGGCCAGCATGGCAAAGCTCTCAGCAGACATCAGCGTGCTCAGGCACGAGGCCCAGAAGGCTGAGAGAGAGATTTATGGCCTCCACTCTGCCCTCAAAAGCTGTGCCAGCGACTTTGAGAAGAAGGTGAGTAGAGAAGCCCACAGGAAAATGCCTGGTGGGTGGTGACCACTCATACCTGCCTCCCTCTTCCCTTCCTACCTGATGAGCAGTTTTAAAGGCTGATCCAGTATTCACACAGGGGTTTTGAGTTAAAATATTTTGTTTCCACGATACCATGGAATGATAGTGGTGCTTATAATGGATGCAAGGTAATAGCAGGTAAACCCCAGATCATAAACAACCCGTCACAGTTTCCCAATATTATTTGTAAGACCATGACTCTGCTTCAAGTGCACCTGGGAATGTCAGCTGCAGGCATCCTGGGGCTAAAAAAAAGGCCATCCAAGTCTTCTGGGGTTTTTGTTTTTATTATTTGTAAGATGTACAGGCAGGTAATGACATAATATCCAGCTCCATATTGATTTTGGCAATTATTTCAAAGTCTTATGAAAATATAGCAGTGAAAAAGCTCTGGGAGATGCTACTTTTTTTTTTAATGAGAGGATTTTTGGTTTGGTTTGGTCTTTTCCTCCATGGATTATGTCAAGCCAACAGGGGATAACAACTGTTATTGCCTCATTCCTTGTGTGAGGTCTGCTGTGCTGAGAAGCAGTTTTGGAGCCTATAACAGGTTCAGGAGCATGAACATCAATATTTTGGAAGAATCCAGCTGTACTGGAAAATCCAGCTTTCTCAACCTGCACCGTGATGACTTTCTGCTCCTGCTCCACCCAAGACATCAGCTGTGCCTGCCCGAGTTGAGCAGATGCAGGACATTCAATTTCTTGTGCCCTCAGACATAGAATATATTCTCAATATTGTGTGTCCATCTCAGCTCTGCTGCATGAGCCTCCCTGTCACCTACCTTGCCTGACCAGGGTCCTCTTCTCCTGGGAAAAATTGCTTAAATGAAACATCTTGATCAGCCTAGAGAAGAGAAGGCTTCAGGGAGACCTTATTACCATGTTCCTGTACTTAAAGGGTGGCTGCAAAGAAGATGGAGACTCCCTGTTGACAAGGAGACACACGGAAAAGACAAGGGGTGATGGGCACAAGTTGCTCCTGGGGAGATTCCCATGGGACACAAGAGGTGAATTTTTCCCCATGAGGACAATCAGAGATTGGAACAGTCTCCCAGGAACAGTCTCCCAGGGAAAGTGGTGGATTCCCCCACACTGGACAGGTTTAAGTCTCAGCTTGACAGGGAGCTGAGCTACCTCCTGTCAACTAGAGCAGCACCTTGAGAGATTGGCCCAGATGGTCCTGGAGGTCCCTTCCAACCTGGCATTCTATGGTTGTACCTAGAATTCTGTTAAAAGACACTCTTTGGACAACTTTCTCCTTGCAGACCTATGAAAATTGTTCTTCACCTGGAAAGAGGGAATGGAGAAGGTGTGTGTGTGTGTGTGTTGGAGAACATAAAATCACAGGGGAAAAAAACCACCAGGGTAGACATTGAGCAGGATGCAGAAAAAAACTCCCCAGCTGAAAAAAAGGAGCAACATTCTTCTCACATGGCTGTAGGAAGAGGAAAGGAAAGGATTTCTGGAAAGCAGTCGGGTTTTGTTGTAAAGGGGGAAGGTGCCAAGTCAATGTGATGGGTCTCCAGCTGCACCTCTTTGGACTGATGTGCCACAGCCACAGAACAGGCACCTCCACACCAGGGACATTTTGTGCTGACTTGATGTAAAACCTCTGATGAAAATGGCTGGATTTCACCTACCAGCTAGTTTATTAATTAACCAAGGGTAGGTAGGTTGAATGCCAAAGCCCTCACACCAGAGTGCCCTTCCAGATCACAGAATCATATCATAGAATAGTTCTAGTTGGAAAGGATCTTAAAGATGATCTAGATCCAGCCATGGGCAGGGACACCTCCCACCATTCCAGGCTGCTCCAAGCCCCATCCACCCTGCCCTTCAACACTGCCAGGGATGGGGCAGCCACAGCTTCCCTGGGCAACCTGGGCCAGGCTCTCCCCACCCTCACAGCACAGAATTTCTCCCTCCCATCTCAGCTCCAGCTCCCTCTGCCAGCTGGAAACCCTTCCCCCTGCTCCCATCCCTCCCTGTCCTTGTCCCAAGCCCCTCCCCAGAACCTTCCCTCCCTCCAGCCTCCTTGGGATCCCATTTAGGTCTTGGGCAGCCAACATTCAGCAATACACACGTTCTTCCAAGGATTTGCCCCTTGGTTCCTGGCACCACTGGGGAGACCTGAGCACAGCCCAGTGCCTGGTTCCAGTGAGGAGAGTCTTGCTTCCCTGCCCATCTCCTGCATCCACAAAGACTTTGGCTCCAGCAGGTCTTGCAGGCTCTGAGCTCAGGTCTTCAGCCTTTAGTGAATGAAATTTTTGGTAAGAAAATCTCATTTTTGTCTAGCTGTACCTCAATGTCAGCTTTTTTCTTTCCCTTCCTTCCTTCCTTCCTTCCTTCCTTCCTTCCTTCCTTCCTTCCTTCCTTCCTTCCTTCCTTCCTTCCTTCCTTCCTTCCTTCCTTCCTTCCTTCCTTCCTTTCTTTCCTTTCTTTCCTTTCTTTCCTTTCTTTCCTTGCAAATGTAATGGAGATTTAAGTGTAAGAGCCCTTGCTGACAGTCTGGCTCACAAAGCCCTTCTCTGCTGGACCCTCCTCAGGTGATGCAGCTGCTGAGCAAGATCGAGGCTTCCAGCTCTGATCACAGCTCGAATTTAAAGACAGTCCAGGGAGACCAACATCATGAAATGCAACTTCTGGATTTCAAGTAGGTGATGGAGGGTTTTTCACCATGATCATTCACCCGGGGGGCTTTGATGCAGGTTTCCATGGAAAAAGGGAAACAAAGCCACTTATTAACACCCGTTCACAAACCCCACCAGAAGATCTGTGCCATAAAATAACGAAAACACAATGAAAGCACATTTTCTTGCAAGCTAATTGTTAAAACAAGGTGCTAAATGCCACCCTGTAAGAAAAGAGGTATGAAACCTATTAACTTTCCTTACTCAAAACAGAGGCACCAAAGACACTCTTTGCCATCATAATTGGGGCTAATTTGTGACTTCCCTAATTTGCAGAAGGAGACCTTTTCTTTCACTTGCACCATCTGCCCACGTCTGAGACAGCTGCCAGGGACAGGGCTGCTGCTGCTGGTGGAGAAAAGTGGGCACAAGGAGCTTGTACAGCCTCCCAGCCTCTCCTTTTTGTGTGTGTGTGTGTATTTTTAGGGTGTTATTTTAATCTTGATGAGTTTTAGAGAGAAAGGAGCTCCAGGAGAAGGATGCAATGAACAAAAGTATCTGGCAGCCACATGGAAAACCAGGCAAACCAGCCCATCTCTGAATAGAAGAGCCAGCACAAATAATTTAAAATGTAATTATGATAATCCTGCAATAACATTATTTAAAAGGCAATTGTTCCACTCCGTAAAACGAAGTATTTGAATAGAGGTTTCTTTTAATTAAGATTCTATCTGAATTGTGTTCAGAAGTAAAAATGGGTTAGAACTTTGAAAAGACAAGAATTCTCATCAAGAGAAGAGGAGAAGGAATTTGGGGTGAATGGGAAATAACAGCTGAGGTGGGCAATGAATTAAAATGTGGAAAAGGGAGGGAGGAGCAGGGAGACAGGAGTGAACAGTGGAGATCATGATGGTGTGAAAGGGACAGGAAATGAAATTTAAAAAAAAAAAAAAAGAGGGAAGGAAAAATGGAACCCTACCAGAAAAGAATGAAATCTGAAAACTGAATTTATGTAAATCCTGAGTTTCTCAAAAGATAATGAGTTCTTACTGAAATTGTCTTCAGAAAATAGGAAGCCTGAAAAGAATTGGTTTTCGAGACACAGAGAAGTGCTGGCTTTTTGTGTATAACATAAAATCCAAAAATACTTATTTACTGATCTGGGAGCTTTTATTCCAGTTAATACAAAATTTAATTAAAACCGCGTGCCCTTTGGGGAATGTCTGCCTCCTTTTATACTGCTCCAGTCTATCAGATTTATGTATTCTTTTTTAGAGAGATGAAATAAAATTTAACGTCTGGAACAATCTGGAGCTTCTCCATAAAAACCTGGCTGGTCTGGATCAGCTTTGCAGCCCAGAGTTACCCCCAGTCCTCACGCAGCTGCAGCTGCTGTGGAAGCACAGGCTGATACTGATTCTGAAAACTACTTTCATTTTTAGGTTTAAATATTTCTTTCCTCCCCCTTTTCCAACCGGGGGAGCGAACACGAGCACCAGCTGCCAACCAGGGGTTAGATATACATGAAAATAACCTCATGAAAGGTCTGTCTGAAGATGTACCAGGCCCCTAACTTTCTGCTGGGGTGGTGGAGCAGAGCTGTGACTCTCACCTTGACCAGCCTGTTCCCTGACCCTCGGGTGTGAAGATCCCACAACCACCAGCAACAACAACTGTGGGAAGTGCATCACTGCCTTCATCCCTACCTCACCTTTCCAGAGCAGGGTTTGGGCAGGAAGGGACAGTTCTCTGCCACCAGCGCTCCATGGGACAACTCATTGCTGCTGGGACAACTCTCTGCTGGACAATTCGCTGCCAGGACATCTCCACATCAGGACAACCCTCTGTGGGGACAACTCTCCTTGGATTGGCAGTGCCCTGGTGTAGAGATGTCCCAGTGGTGAAATGTCCCATTGGTGGCAGAGAATTTCCCTTAGACCCATGTTCAGCTGGTGCTCCCTGTTATTCCAGTCCACTGTCTTTCTGCCAGGGTCTAGAAGAGCTCATTGCACCTTCCCATGCCCAGCTTGGATATTGCTCTATATCATCAGGGTAATATCACAACATCATGTTGTTTTCTCATGAGCAAAGATTAGTGCTCCAGGAAGCAAACTCTGTGTGCAGGTTCATAAGTGCATGGTGGGACTATAAGTGATGAACTCCACACTTCAGGGTTTTGTTCTTGAAAGAACTGGAATCCTAGAGGTACTAAAATGGGTAATAGTGACAAACTGACCCAACTGGCTGCTCCTGCAGAGGGTCCTGAAGACACCCTGTCTACAACAAACTGCAATAAGGTATCACTGTGATACATGTTCCTATAATTTTTTACCCCATTTACAGTGACTGCTGATGGCAATTATCCCCTCATTAGCCTGATACATTGATAGCTGCTATCAATCATCACTCCGTGTAAAAACCACTTTAACTCGAACAGCCTTTTTGAAAAGTGATATTAAAGAGTGGAAGTGCTGTAAGAATTGCCTAGTGACAAATCCTGCTCCTTTACCTGCTGGTTTGTATCCTAACTGAGACCCAAGCTGATTTTAAGTGACCACAGTTTGCATGTAAACATGTCCTGGAAATTAATGCAATGACCTTAAAATCTTAGTGACACTCTCAGAGCCAGAACAAACACACAAGTGTGAAAATTGACACACGTGGCTTCAGCTTGGACCTAAATTCAAGTCTGGTCGTGGTTCATCTTGTCAGTTACATGTTGCAGCACAAGAAAAGCAAAAACCAAAACTTTGTGGTTCTGGTTAACTTGACATTTTGCAGACTTGATCCCAGCAGGGATTGCTCATTGACCCCAGCTGCTCCCACCCACCCTGTCTCATCCAGGCTTCTCTTGCTTCCATCTTTCCTGGGGGCATTTCACATTCCTATCCAATAACTGCTGCCTCGGGGGCAACTCTGCAATCTCCTTTGGTTTATAACCTTTTAGCCATGAACTTATTTTATCCTGATGAACTTCACCTTCAGAGCAGGGGTGGTTCTGCTGCTCTCCCTCATGCCCAGCAGCTGAGTCTGTGTTGGAGGGGTTACTGCAGCTTCTCCATCCCCTTCCAACAGGCTTAACTCAAATGGGAAATTGACATTTTTTCCAGCCCTCAGATATTTTCCTAAACTAGACCACTCTGAAGAAACCACATTTTGGCTTGTAGGTACAACCCCTAAGCTAAGGATCAACCAAATAATTGAGCCTAGAGCTTCTGAGGCAGCTCATGAGCAGATGTGGAGCAATTTAAACAATTTACTCAAATGACTCAAGACTCCCCCATAACACTGACTAAACCTTAGTACCAATACTTAAAGAAATAATGATCATTTCAGGTTGACAAGTGCTCTAAGTGACTTCAGGGATCAGCTGCAGACTCACTGGAAGAGGGCAGAAGCCTGGTTGTCACGGACTGAAGAAAACCAAGCCCAGCACAGGCAGCAGCTGCTCAACTTGCTGAAGGAGGGACTGGTAAGGCTTTCTAGGCTGGCACTGGGGTGGCCTCCAGACCCCTAGGACTGTCCCCAGCTGCTCCCATCACCCCCAGCCCAGCAGGTACCAACCACACACCCAAAATCCCCAGATCTAGCACCAAACCAGGTGCCTCAGGACACGGCCAGGAAAGTGGTGAGTTACAAAAGAAAAAAATAAATTAATCATGGATTCATATTTTGGAAGGGATATCTGGAAGTCGTGAGGTTCAAACCTTTCCTCCAACCATGGGAGTCTGGGCTTGGGTGTCATCCTAGTGAGTTTTAAGTATCTCCAAGGATGGAGATCACCCAACATTCCGGATATCCTGGGAAATAAAGTGAATTATGGCACCATATCCCACCCGGGTAACCCCAACGTACCCAACAGTGACATTCCTCAGCCCCAGGGCAACCACTGGGGCCACCACCCAGTTTCATTTGTTGACAAAGAAGAGGAAGGGGATCATTTGTTTAAATTCTGCCCATTTTAAATCCAGACAAACCCCCAACAACCCCTGTTTCAGCTCCAGCATAGAGGGTATTGCTTAGTTCAGGACCAAAGCCTTCTCATTAACTCCTTCACTGCTCCCAAGGCTTTTCAGAGTGGAAAAGTGACTGACACATCACCACAGGGTCTCAGTGCCAGGCAGGGAGGATGCTGACCAAAGACCAGGCTCACAAGTTGCTTGGACCAAAAATGCTCCTGAATCCCAGTCTCCGTTTCTCCTGCCCAAGGAGGGTCCCTTGTACTCAAGAGACCAACACTTGGTGCAGCCAGAAAGATACTAAAGCCAGTTTGGATGTGTCAGCACCTATCTCAAAGCTACGCCTTGAATTCCCTTAGTCTGCTAATTAATAGTTTTTTTAAAGCTGCTCTTAAGTTGGTTCTTGTTAGAGAAGATAGTGAGAGGACAAGGGGTGATGGTTTTAAACTGAGAGAGGGGAGATTTAGGTGAGATATGAGGAAGAAATTCTTCACTCTCAGGGTGGTGAGGAGCTGGGATGGGTTGCCCAGGGAGGTTGTTGATGCCCCATCCCTGGAGGTTTTTAAGGCCAGGTTGGATGAGGTTTTGTGCAGTTCTGGTGGTTCCCTGCTCATGGCAGGGGGATTGGAACTGGGTGACCTTTAGGGTCCTTTCCAACCGTCATCATTCTATGATTTATGAAATAAGGACCACATTTGTGTTTTCACATGCTCATAGAGGGGCAGGCAGGCACACACAGTGCTCAGAGCAGCTGGAAGGGCTCTGGATGTCTCCTACTCTGCTGAGACCCCCTGGAGTGTTGTGTCCAGTTCTGGGGTCCCCAGCACAGGAGGGACATGGAGCTGTTGGAGAGAGGCCAGAGGAGGCCCCGGAGATGCTGGGAGGGCTGGAGCAGCTCTGGAGCCAGGCTGGGAGAGTTGGGGTGTTGAGCCTGGAGAAGAGAAGGCTCCAGGGAGACCTGAGAGCAGCTTCCAGTGCCTGAAGGGGCTCCAGGAAAGCTGGGGAGGGACTTGGGACAAGGGCAGGGAGGGATGGGAGCAGGGGGAAGGGTTTCCAGCTGGCAGAGGGAGCTGGAGATGAGATCTTAGGAAGCTGGACACATAGCAGGAGGCAGGTTAATGTGGGAACATTTAAAATGTCTTACCTGTGCTGTGTGTTTAAAGGACAGAGCAGAAAACAGAGTAGAAGAAAAGCTCCTGGTTCTGTCACTAAAGATAGAACAAATGGATAAACCACAAAAATTTGAAAAGCAGGTGAAAGAGATGAAAAGTGATGAAAAAAGCCTGCATGCTAGAATCAACAGATTTGAAAGGCAGATCTGGAAGGAGCTCGAGGAAATCCGGAACGAATACAGATCAGGTGAGGATGGGCCTTCATCCAGTTTATTTTAAAAATAAATTTCTACAGTAACTTGCTGCTTCAGAAAACACTTTCCAGCAAAGGCAGGCAGACACTAAAATGGTTCTTTCTCTCTCCCAAACCTCACACACAGAGGTTGCATGGGGTGGCCAGCTTCTCTTTGCAAACAGCCAGCACAACAGCTGCTTTCTCTTCCTAAGAGACTCAAGGTAAGAGGATCTAAAAGGCAATTTCACAGCCTGCTGTCCAGGCTTTTTAAGAGCACCTGTTTCCTCTGTCATCAATTCACTACCCATCCGTGGGAGGCACAAGTTCCTTGCCAAAGGGGGTGAGTCTGCCAGGTGGCTGGGGAAGGTTCTCCCATGGGGTCCTAAGGGTCAGACCAGACCCTTTGCTTTCTGAACTCCTTCTCAGAGGAGCCTGGGAGCCACTGGACCCACTCCTGTCTGAAGGGTTATGAACGTGCAGCCACCTCTCAGAGTCAAGGCTGCCTGTGTCAGAGCCCCAGCAAGGGCCAGCACTGGCACAGATGAGCCAAGCTCCATGGGAAGAGCATTTGTTAAGGCAGCAGACACAACAGGCTCAGAACTGCCACTGATGAATACAGCTGCTCCAGAGAGTTGAGCTCCAGTTAGTGATTCCCAGGTAAAAACCTGAGAGAGCTGCAGGTGCAGTTGGTGCATCTTCCCAAAGAGGCAGCCTTGGCTGGGGGTGAAAGAGGGATTCAGCCCATTCAGACAGATGGAATTTTCTTCCTTCCCAAAGCAGAGGATTCTAAAGGACAGTTTTATACCTATTGAAAAAGTGGGGCTAGGCAATAAGTAGTGTGCTGATGGATTCCAGGCTAATGATGCTTAATAATTAAGGGGGCGGGGGGGGAAGCCCCAGCATTTGCTGCAGGAGCAAACTCCTCCTCTGGTTTTGTTGATGAAGCCACTGGCCACAAGGCCTTGGCTCCAGCCTCAGTGATGCATGAGCTCGTGGCCTTCACAAGCCAGATTTTGCCCACTGTGCTGTGTCACTACTACCCTGCCCCTGCAGCTTCTCATGGCAACACAGTGGGCACATCAGGCAATAAAAACAACAGATCCCTCAGCCCTCCCTCCAGGGGAAGAGGTGGCCTGGGAGTCATCACATGAGGGCTTCACATCTCACATGTTCTCTCTTTGGAGCTCAGGGGCCTGGTTCTCATCCTCTAAGCTGCCTGTGATCCAGGACCCCAGCTCTTGCCTGCAGCCCCAATTCCTTCATGACCTGCAGCCTGGATACAAGCCCTGCTCCCAGGCTCCCAACCAAGCTCTAAATGAGCTCAGGTCTTGACGTGGGAGGGCTTGGCTGTCCCATCTGAGGGGGCACGAGGCAGCATCTCAGAGGCAGCTGTGGCAAAGAAGCCTCAGGACATAATACTGTTACTGAAAAGAGGGAGTTCTTAACTTCAGATTCCTGCCTGCAGAAACTGAACGACACCAGAGACGTTGTTTCTTTGGCCATCCTGGTGTTCAAAGCCAGGTCTGATGGTTGCTCTTTCCCAGGGCAGTCCTCTGGCAGGGTCTGACCCCCCAAAAAAGGGGGGACAGAGGCCACTGATGAGGTGTGGAGCAGCATGAAGCAGTTGTTAGTGCTTCAGCTCAGGTGGGTCTTGGGAATCAGAGGTGGGGCTGGAATGCACAGAATTCCTCATTCTAAGTGGTTTGGTCGAAGTGTGGCAGTGGCAAAATCAACCACTGCTTTTGAACAACCATTCCACAAGGAGAAAATCATGTCATTGGCTGCCATGTTACAATAAGCACTGAGGAGGGAAAGAAAAGGGGGAAAAGAAGTAATTCTAACCCACAGTTAGGGTTTTGCTTGCTATTAAGTGAACACCTGTGTAACACACTGGACAAATGTACAGAGCTGTAATTTGAAAGTTATCTGTGCAATCCCACCTCTTTTTGTACACACACCCATGCACAGAGGTGTGGCTGGTGAAGCTGAGCTCCCATTATCCCCAAAGCACACAACAAAGCAGCTCTGAGGGAGTATAATACTTACTTACAGCTGCTGCAGCTCTGGAAGACCTGTGGTACCAGATTCTGGCAGGCAGGTTGCAGAGCAGCAGTGCCAGAATCCAATGGGAACAGGGAGCGAGATGGGAGCTGAGGGGGAAATTCTGTGCTGTGAGGGTGGGGAGAGCCTGGCCCAGGTTGCCCAGGGAAGCTGTGGCTGCCCCATCCCTGGGGGTGTTGAAGGGCAGGTTGGATGGGGCTTGGAGCAGCCTGGAATGGTGGGAGGTGTTCCTGCTCATGCAGGGGTTTGGAACTGGATGATCTTTAAGGTCCCTTCCAACTCAAACCAATCCATGGTTCTGTGATTCTCTGAGTCACAATAAGGACCAAAAAACAAAATCCAAGCCAAACAAAAATGCCCAATGAAAGGACAAGATGCTGTAGGGCTAACAAAACCCCAGGCTTTCAAGACAGGGTTTTCTTTCTCCCACCCCACCACTCTGATGACAACTGCAGTTTTCTGCATGGTGTGATCACGCTTGGCATTGTCCAAGGTGTTGGAAGAGATGATTCCTATAGCAGGTAGGTTGCAACCCCATCTGCTAATGCATGTCTATGGCATTCAATAAAATGAGGAAATGAAATTGATTTAATTTTCATTTGATTTCATTTTCAATTGTACTAAACACTGGTCAGAAACTTTCATAAAAAGAGAAGAAACTTATAATATCTTGAAAACAATGAACATACAATTAATTGTTCCTATTCCTCTACCAGGATTTCAATCCATTCTTGAGTCTCTGGAGCTGCTCAAACAAATACAGAACACCAAGCTGAGACTTGAGAAAAAGAAAATTCAAAAAGACATGAGAAAGATCCAACAAAATTAGCCTCCCAGAAGACTGAACACCAGGATCCAGACTTGTCCCGCTTTCCAGGTGCTCTCTCCAGCAAGAAGCAGGACTGACTGAAAGAAAGAAGCAGCCTATAGACACACCTGATGTTGTTTCCCCCTCTCCCTCTAGGGTGTTATTGCTAGTCATAATATTGTGCAGCCACAAAAAATAACAACTCTGTAACAACAACATTGATTTTTCTTCACACCAATTTCACTGTAGAGGAAAAGCTGAATTTTAAGACTTAAAATTTTGCAAGTAGATTTCATACAGAATTATTCATCTTTTTAAAAGGAACAAGTACCTAGTCACCTGCCATAAGCTACAGGGCTTTAGACTGGTGCAAGTACTGAAATCAGGTCGAGTAAATTCCTGCAGCTCCTGCAGTGTATGTAGTAACAGCATCATGGAAACTGGTATCAGATTATCTACTGATTCAAGTCTTGGACTGGTTATAAGAAGTTGCTGAATCATGAAAAGCATCTAATAACCTGTGTAAAGGTGACAAAAGTGCCATTTAATTACATAGTTGATGCGTTATTAAGAAAGTTTATTTCTCATCTTCTGTGTTTGACTGGACAAAACAATCCTGGCAGAAGCAGCAGCCAGTGTGGCTGGGTGTGCCTGCCTCCCCACCAGGGACCCTGGTGCTGCAGTTCCCAGGACATTGAGCAGCAGCAAAGAGCTGAAATACCAGGTTACTGGGGAATGTGTTTCTAAAAAGTGCGTAGTGTCAAAAAAACCCCCAAAACAACAACAAAAAAAACCCAGCCAAAAACCAAAAGGAACCAAAAAAGCCAAGACAACATTCAGAATCTAACCAACTTCCCTTTCCCTTCACTGCATAAAGGAGTTACCTCAATATTTATCACCCCACGCTGTGGCCAAACTCAAAATGATGCCTCTCTCCCCTGAGAACACCAAATTTAAGTTACTTAACTGCTACCTGTTAAGTCAAATCAGTAAAAATCAAATTAACTGGGAGAGAAAAAAAGCTAAATTCAGACACC